TTAGTATGAGTTTCTGCTGAGCACAAGTGTTTTAGTGCTCACGCCCACGCATTTCATGTTTTTCAGGTCGCAGGGTCGGGGACGAGGAGTGAGCGGGCGGGCTGTTCAGGATATGTGGAGATTTATGTATATGTTTTGCCACGCGTTGTTTCCGCTAAAAACTTTCAGTACTTATTTTCAGTTTTGTTCCGACGTTAGTCGGATAAGACGTTATAACCGTTTTTATTTATCAGTCTAAAATTTTAACGGTTTTCAGAAAAATCAAGTTTTTCACGGTAGCATCCCGAATCAGTTTTCGCAAAATAAGTAATTTATTTATTTGTTCAGAAAATTGCGAAAAAACGCGTACTCCGATATAATAAAAAGCCGGGGTGTTACAAATAGTATCAGAGCACGTTTCTGCGTCTCTGAAAAGTTTTTCAGTCAGTAATTTTCAGAAAAAAAACCTGAACCGTCACGCTCACGCCTCGCCGACTCCAGGTAAGTGCTGATTCAGTTTTCAGTTATAAACATATTACTTTGTCTATGCTCAGAAATCAGTAATCAGACTTAGTTAAGATGCTCGAATCAGGTTCAGACTTTAGAGTTCCGATATAACTCTAGAGTTCAGTATATTCAGACCTGACTTTAGAGATCAGTACACTCAGACATGACTCTAGAATTCAGTATCGTCCGATATGACTCTAGAGTTTTTCAGGATTCATGTCAGTATTTATCGGCCATTTTTGGCAACTCGTCAAGAGATTTGCATGCCTAAGTAATCAGTCAGAATATTATTACGTGTTCAATAATGTTGAACTTTCTCAATGTTCAGATGCCGCCCTGTAGGGAACCCTATCACCCGACTCCTACTCAGGCTATAGTAGTCGCACAGTTCTGCGACTATCATGTTGAGAAATTCTCCGGGCAAGGAGATCCCCGTATCGTGGGCGAGTAGATTCAGAACCTTAGAAAGGAGCTAAGCTTGAGAACTCTAGATTCAATTCTAGATTTATTCAAGTCATGTTAATGACCCGTCAAGAGATTTGTAAGCATTTATGTTATACAAATCTTAGCAATCATGTTCCTCACATATTTTCTATCGAAAATTTCCATTTTGCCAATCAATTGGCAGACTTCAGGGAGAAATTCCTTGATTTAATTCGAGGAATAGACTCAAATTTCCTAAGTCAGATCAGTAAATCATGTTTAAGGCAAGAATTTTCATGTTAAAGGTTGTTATAACTCTCAAGTTATTGTTAAGGTAACGGTTTCCAGTGTATAAGAGTCAATAGTCCGGGTTACCATGGAGGCTTGAAATAAGAGCCATTCAGCCGGATATACCATGGAGGCTTGAAGCTGAAACCGGAGCAGTATGATTTCATGTAATAACAACCTTTTAAGTCAGTCATGTCATATCATTTATCAGTCATGATCTTTCAAGTTATGATTTTCAGAGATCAAGATCAGCTAATTACTTTGTACTTGCGGGACCAGTTAATACTGGAGCAGCACTATACAGTACAGAGTTATAAATTCATGTTCACGACTTACAATTTATGTTCATGATGTAAGGTCGACGTATAATAGTTGTTCAGTCGGGTTAAATGTGGCGATCTGATATACAGACCATTTGTCCAAATTTACCTGGAAACTTGAAGTCGTACCTTATCAAGTCAAGTAAGTCAGTAAATATCACGTTTTCAATCTCGAAGTGACTATTTAAGTTGTCTCGGGATAGTTTTCAGAGTTCAGACAAAGATGATTCAGTCATGTAAGAGTCAAGTCATGGTTATTCAGTCATGAGAATATTCAGGCCAGTCATGTCAAGATCGAGAATAGTCTGTCTAATAAGACAAGACTTATTCATCATTTTCAGTATGTCAGCGCCTCGAGTCTCAAATTCTGAAGAATCTGAGAAATCGGGAGAGATATTCATTCATGATGGACTTCTTCTTGAGGTTAAGTTTAACCTCGGAGGGAGTAAACAGTTGCAGGTACCACAGGTTGACATACGCCGCGACGAAGAAGGGCCAATCGATAGCAACAGATCGTGCCAGGATGAGAAACCGATGCTTTCCACCCCAAGATGCCATGCTTGAATCACAGTACACTGGGAGATTACAGAGAGTTAGTATTAAAAAGTACATTGAGGTTACTAGCTTGAGTATAGATACGATCAAGATTACGTCAACGACGCAGGCGCAATGTTCGCCAGATGCTGGATGCAGGCGTGCCACACTCACTTGATGAGGAGCAGGTGTGCCGCGTTACAATGTGCCGCGAATGATGTGCCGCGTTGTCGAACCGACATTCATGAAAGGTAATTACCAATATAGATAGTTATCCTCATTTGTACATATGTGAATCTCTGGAATCTTCCGTGTGTACCTGCGACAGGAGTCTTGACCACCAGCATTCAGATTGGAGATCAGTCAGCAGCCAGGAGATGATGACCAATACGTTTCAGAGTTTCGTTTTGAGATCATGTCTTATCCGTGGAACATTTTCTTTCAGAAAAGTGTCCATTCTCAGTCAGCAGTATTCTACAATTCACTTAATTGTGAATTGATGTATCTTCAGTTCAGATCAAGTCTCTTATTCAGTATTAAATTACTGGATTCTCAAGTCATGTAATCAGTAAGTATAAGCTTTAAGTTAAGCTTGTACATTCCAGTTTTAGTATTTCCGAGGACGGAAATATTTTAAGGGGGGTGAATTGTAACGCCCCGTATTTTATTAATAAAGGAAAATACTAGCTTTTAGTTTTAAGCTAGCCTTTGTTAATAAATAATCATGTTCATGCTCAAGTTCAGGTTAGTCAGTCAGTTATATTCTAAGTTCGACTATTAGTCGATAAGTTATTCGGTTTGCTTATTTAAGTAACCGAATAAGTTTCCAATTTAATTCCGATTCGTTTATTTAATTATTGAGTCCAGAATTATTTATTCAGTCAGCGATATCCCGTCAGTTTATCAGTATAAATTATATTTTAGTTCCGATATTATTTTCGGAATTAATTATTTTCAGTTGAGATTACCGAAAATTATTTTCGACGTACCGTTTACGTCCGGAATAATTTGGTAATTAAGCATTATGTTTAATTAAAGATTAAACATTAAAGAGGTGATTAATTATTAATTAATCACACTAACTCAAGCAAAGCCGTACGAATTTTTGTATTAAATTCTCTCCATTAGTCCCAAATGCCGTATGTTTTTTTTGTTCTTTAAGTCATGAAATTATATTCTATTTTGGGGTCTTATACGTGGCATTAGGAAGAGTTAAGTGGGTGATTAATCATTCCTAACACTCCCTATTATTCCAAGTGTCATTAGCCTAAGATAACCTCATTACCCATAGTTTTGGTTCGGTGAGTATAAAAGGGGAGTTTGGGATGAAAAATTTCCACACTTTAGCATATATTGTTCTCCCAAATATCTTCTAAGTTCAGCAAAGAGAGAGTCCGATCAGCTTAGCACTGTAAGTTCAGCACGCACCCGCTAGCCGAGAGTATCGCACGTCGCGCAGCTAGCTATCGCACGCAATCGCACCGCACAAAGACGCCACGCACGCGGAGAGCCACGCGAACACGGGAGTCCGAAGTAGTGTTGTCAGTTGAATATAATCGGAGGTAAATTCCGTGTCGTTGTAGGTTGAGATTATCATGTCTATTAA